GATCGATACTCCCCAGACCATACTCGAGTGGCTAGAGCTTGTTACTCAGAGCAAAAAGTGCTGGCTTACATCAGTTCCGGAACGTCAGTAAGCTTGTTTCTGCCCTGATCTTATTCTCTGGCAGAGTTTGCTTAGTGTGGTAAAAACAACACTGGGGTCAAGAGACCTGCTTTCCACTTCCAGCACTGCCCTAATTAGCTGGAAGACGGGGCTCTTTAAAGTCCTTTAGTCCTTTACCCTCTTATCTCTAAAACAAGAGGGTTGACCTGGAAAATGGTGAGGTTCCCTTTGTTCTCACCTCCTCCAGGGCTGTTCCAGAGTGTTTTCAGAGTGTGTTTCAGAGTGTTTTTAGGTTTTTATGTGGAAATGTAATGGAGATGTGGCAGTTAGGATCTCAGGCGTGCCTTTCTTCCCGCAGGACTCCTGTCTGGGCCTGAATTTTAGATTTACTGAGGGAGAGGGGTCATAAAAATAGCATCTCTTAAGGATGTATAAAGTTCATGGTAAATTGTAAGCTTTCAGAAGGACAAAAAGAATGGTGCAGGCTAGAGCCATGTCCTCCCCCTACTGTGGGGGGTGGGGAATTGAGTTAAACCTCCTTTATGGCCACCTGGGGCTTCAACTAGGACTGGGTTCATGTGTCATGCCTTCACATGTGCCTGTCTAACAACAATGAAGAAAGCAATATGTTTTTCTACTGCAACTTAAAACAATGTAGGAGAAAGGCCAGCTTCCGTGGAAGTAAATGCTTGAAGAACATGTGGAGCCACACCTTTTTCTATCTTTAGCGGTTTTCTTTCCCCAATTTTTTGGGGGGAGTTCACTCCTGATGGTGCTCAGGAGACCATATGCGGTTCTGGGAATCCAACCAGGGTTGGCCTCATGCGAGACAGGTACTTTAAGATAACCTTGACCTATCTCTCCGGCCCTCTACATTTTATTAAAAAGAAAAAAAAACTAATCCAGACTTTTAAGAGATGGATACTGAAAAGAAAATTACCATGACTAAAATATAGTTTGTGCATTTCCCTAAATACATTAATGAAAGTATCAGAAATGACTACATAGAAATTAAAGTTTCTTAGTTACATGTAATATTTGAAATGACATTTCTCTCTATTTCAACTCATTAGGAAAGAGATCATGTAAATCATTTGTATTTAATACACTAAGTGCAGAGTTCCCTGCCCCTGCACCTGGCTCTCTTTACTGGGGCCCCTTGGAGGGGGGCGGGTTGAGTTTCCCTCCTTGTCCCAAGAAGACCTCCAGAACCCAGCCACAGCCTTCCTTGCTCAAGGCCACTCTTCACACGCTCGGAGGAGCTTCACACATGAAGGAACTGGCAGAGGAACTGAGGTGTGCGGGACCTAGGGCTGAGATCTCCAAGCCTGCTCAGATCGGTACTGGGCCTCTTCCACCCAGATCCCCCATTTTCCAGTAACTTGGCAGTCACACCCACAAATTGCCCCTGGCGCCATGTAATCCCATCAGTGGCAAAGATCCAGAGACTATAAACCAAACTTCCGGAAGTAGAGTATAAGCAACCTCTGATGGTTTAGTTCTCCCTCTCAGAGAACCCAGCAAGCTACAGAGAGTATTTTGTCTACATGGCAGAGCCTGGCAAGTTCCCTGTGGTATATTCAATATTCCAAAAACAGTAACAATAATGGGTCTCATTTCCCTGGCCCTGAGAGAGCCTCCAGTGCGGCACCGTTGGGAAGAATGAGTAAAGAGAGGCTGCTAAAATCTCAGGGCTACGATGAATGGAGATGTTACTGGTGCCCGCTCGAGCAAATCGATGAATAACGGGAGGACAGTGTGATACCATAAAGCGCACAAGAATTTTTTCTCAACCTCTGTTTGATGTCAGAGGAAGTGTATTTTGCATTGTAATTAGAATTTTGCTAATGGTAACTTTCCTTCAGAAGAGATTGTATGACTAGTGTCCAGATATAGAAAAATATGAAATATAACAGTCATCTTTATTTGGTGAATTATATCCAGTGAACACATTTAACCCTACCAAATATCCCAAGAGTTTGGTTCATTTTTTTCCTACTGACAGATTATTTTAAGATGCAGACAGCTGTTATTTTATCTCACAAACACATGATAGTGTAGTTTTCATGTATTTGGCAATTTTTTAGTTTGTTTTGGGGCCATACTTGGCTATGCTCAGGGATTATACCCAGCTCTGCACTCAGGAATTACTCCTGGCAGTGCTCAGGGAACCATCTGGGGATCAAACCTAGGTCACCCATGTGCAAGACAAGAACCTTATCCACTGTTTTATCACTCTGATCCCATATTCATCAAATATTTTATGTAATCAGGGATTGGAGATATAGTACAGCAGGTATGGTTTTTACTGGGCTTGATTCCCGGTACTACATACGGTTCCCTGAGCTTCACTTGGAGCCGTCATTGGCCCATTTAGAATCATTTGCCCATCAAACAGTCTGAAGCCAGACGCCCTGATTCCCACATTCACCAGTTTAGAGTCCTCCTATGGTCATCCCTGAACTAGGATACCTCAACTTTACTGAGAGGGGATAAGAGAATGATTCCTAGAGGAAAATTAGCTACTATTCCAAAAGGAGGAGTGAATACTTGATGTAAATAGCAAAAACTATCAATACATGCATCTTTCTTATTTTAAGTAAATTTACTTTGTCTAACTGTAAATATCTCTGGGCAAAAGATTATCAGAGGATATATATTGTGGTTGAATGTATATAGCAGGAATTTACAACACTTCACATACAAAATATGTAATCCTAATGCAATGTGGTAAGGGATAGGATAGCTTGCCATGTAGGCAAGAGTAATATTGAAAATATTTGGCAACTTGTGACAGTGGCAAGAGGAGTTGGATTGGGCTAATCAAAATGGGTGCTGAATACATCAAACCAATAGGTGCCCTGTAAAGGTATATCGCACAGTTTTGAAAGGAGAAGTTGGAAATCTTGCAAAGGCCACAGGGAAACCCCCCCCCCCCCCTTGTTTTATCTGACTTCTAGTAGCTGGGGGCAATCCCTGTTATTCTTTTATTCTAAAAGCACTGCTAGAATCTCTGTTTTTTTTTCTCCCTCTTCCCTCTGTGCTTGTGTCTCTAGCCATTTTTATCTCCTCTTATAAAGATATTAGGTACAATGGTTGGAGTCACCTCATCTTGATTCACATCTGTAGAGAACCTGTTGACAGGTAGTCACATTTAAAGTTTCTGGGTGAACAAGAATCTCAGGGTATCAGTATTTAAACCAAAAATTGAAGCTCTTACAAATTGGCATGATACAAGTTAAAGCATATTCAGTATGAAATCCCTTGCAAACATTTTTTCTTCCTTTTTATTTAAAACATGATTTTTTAATCTTTGTAAAATATTGAGCTGAATGAAATTTTTCAGCAGGAGTACTGTTCTATATTTACTACTGCATCTGATCAAGTCACCACTTTCTCCCCTAAATTATTATTATATTAATTTGATTAAATTATGAATGTCACAGTGACAATTTGGCAGAAGATGAATATTCATTGACTTAGAATGTTTGCACACAAAGCATTACATTTTTGCACATGACTTTTTTTGAATTCAGATAGATTTTTAATATAAGGGTCACTGTGAGCCGTGCCCGAAGAGCCTGGAGGCCACTCCCGGCCATGCTTGGTCTATGCTGAGTATTAAGCACGGTGCTTGAGTTGGCATGTGGGGTTGGCACTGATGATGCTTGGGGTCCAGGGGGCCACAGCCAGTCATGCTTAGAGGTGGACAGATGATACAGGAATCAAACACAGTACTTCTATTGTGCTAGACTCTACCAGAGAGATTTACCAAAACTCAAGTATGATTTTACCTTTATGAAATGGGGTTGACCACAGAAATAGATGAACAGCATCCAATAGAATATTTTAAGAGTGAATGAGGAGTGAGGAGCAGAGGATGTGACTCGGTGCTGGAGCTCTTATTTCCATTGTATAAGGCCCTGGCTTCAATCTTGTGCACCCCTCAAAAATAAAAGGAAACAAGAGGAATACAAATAGGAATGATTTGGAAATCATATTTTCAAAGGCACATTTGGTAGCAGTTGTCTAAACTGCTTGAAGAACTTCTCTGTGGACAAGGTTCAGAGGAAAGAGTTTGAGCAATATTAGACATACCTTTCTCAGTCTATTCCTCAGTACAAAGGCATCATGTACCTAAATGGGAGTGACTGGTTCTCAAATGCCCAGTCATTTGCAGCACAATCATGTCCTGGTACATTTTAGTGGAGATTTTGCCTTGAGCATGAAATGGAAAAGAAAACCTCTTCCAGCTCCAGAAGCTGCTGCAAGTCCTTCTAAAGTGCTGTCTCAGAAGGGCATGAAAATATTTGTTATGCGACAAGAAATTTCCATACATTTGAATACTTTCTAAAAGTTGCCATGAAGTCCCAACAAGAAGCTCAAGTCAGTTGAGAACAAGGCTCAGAATTTTTTTCCTGGGGGTTGAGGCATGTGGTGATGTTCAGGGATGCTGGTTTGACTCAGATCACTCCTGGTGGGGCCTAGGGGACGATATATGGTGTCGAGGACTGAACATAATGTGCCACGTGGAAGGCAGGTGCCTTATCCACTGGATTATCTTTCCAGCCTCCAGAGTTCAGATTTTACATCTCTCTGTGTTTTGCTGAAATCCCAGCAATAAAAATGATGTGAAAATTCACAAAAAACAAAAGAGAGAAATATTTGCTCTGTGCCTTAAGTGCTGTGGACTGCTGGAAGGGAAAAGGGGGAAGATTTAGTTTAAGAGAAGGGGAGGCATTAATAAATTAGAATGGCGAAAGATTATATTTTCCATTTATTGGTCACCCACTATGTGCAGAGGACATGGAATTGTTTTGATCACATCATCTCAATTAATGCACTTAAATTCTTTTGCTTTTTTCTATTTTGAGAAGCTGTGGATCTGAAAACAGTGTGCTCTTAAAATAACATTTCCCCCCTTGTATTATTTGGTGCAGGACTGTTCTGATGGCTACATGTGCAAAACACATTTTCAAACCAAGTCATCACCTTTGGAAACATTTGCCTCTGGGCAGGCATGTCTTCCCATGGAGGTGAGTGGTGTCTTATTCTTCTTGGCAGTCATTGTGGAGTATAATTTTTTAAAATTAAACATACATTAAAAATAATAACTGATGTTAGATACTGGGTCTGATGGAGTGGGGAGAAGATGGATCATTTGTCAGGAGGCATTTCTAGCTACAATACTGAAAGCAACTAGCAAGGCTGCGATCTTGAAGCCGAGATCTTCTCTGCATCTCCCGGTGGTAGTGAGACTTCACTCTTTTTTTCTGCTGTATCTTTAGACCACAGATGTCCTCTGCTACCTATTGATTTTCCTCTGGTATAGTCCTCCCAGGATGATACAGCCCTCTCCCTAGAGTGCTTAATCCAAGATTGGGGACTTCATTAACTCATCTGTCTTTAACTCTTTTCCCTTCTGTCCTTTAAAACATACTGGATCTGGGTTTCATTCTTTAGGGTGCTCTAACCTTGATTTGAAAATCTTGCTAGATTAAATTTTAATAAGGCTTAGTGGTTTTTCTGGGGTATATTCCCTTTTCTTTAATCAAAACGCAAATTGCCTGAGTGTGTTTATTCTGGATAACATTATTTTGTTTGCTTTGGAGACTACACCCAGTAATGCTCAGAACTTACTCCTGCTTCTTTGCTCAGGGATCACTCCTGGTAGAGCTCAGGGAGCAATATCCAGTTTTGGGGATCAAACGGGGATTGGGGGGCTGGAGTGATAGCACAGCGGGTAGGGTGTTTGCCTTGCACACGGCCGACCCGGGTTCGATTCCCAGCATCCCATATGGTCCCCTGAGCACTGCCAGGAGTGATTCCTGAGTGCAGAGCCAGGAGTAACCCCTGTGCATCGCTGGATATGACCCAAAAAGCAAAAAAAAAAAAAATGGGGATTGGGAAACTCCTTAAGTCTGGCCCTTGTGAATATTTAAAAGACATATCTATTGTAAAAATAAACAATAGAGAAATATATTAAAAAGAATTTAAGAAAATGAGATTTCCTTCAGGTGAAGGTAACTATTATTAATATTTTAGTAGGTATCCTTCTGCAGATTTTTATTACACACAATGGTATATCCTTTTGCAGTGAACAAGTTTGTCAAGATGACTTTTCATATCAGTAAATAAAGAATTCCATAGCTCTTTCAGTATCTGTGTTGCATTCTATCCTATTGATGAGTCATATTATATTGATTTTATTTTGAAATAAAATACTTGCATCTGAAAGTAGAATTGCTAGAGACCTAATTGATTCAATAGAGAGGAGGAAGGGATTGATGCTTATAATCCTGAGAAAGTAGGGAAAAAAAGACATTCTTGTGACATTTTTCTGAAGGTAAAGCCCTTTCTCAAGACTAGTTAAGACAGACACATTTGATAGTCCAGCTCCCTTCTCTGCCTGTGTATATCTCTGGCCAGCATGTAACTCTGACCAGTGTAATCTGGTTTATAAGTTACTCTCAAGAGCACTGTGTATGGTAGTAAGTTTAGTGCCTCTGGGGTAGGTGGCTGCTTCATGGTTTGAATAACCAACATAAAATGTGAAGTCAAGCAAGTTAGAAAACTTTCCAACAAGTTGACTTTAAAATCTACTATTATACTTAAAAATTGAATCATTATATACTTTTACAAAGTATACTAATTTAAAAATGTTCATGATTTGGAGATGATTGACCAGTTTTGCCTAACAAACATGGCAAAGATGTAAAAAGCACCAAAGTGTAATTATTGGGGTCAGGGAGATAGTTTAGCTATCTAGCGTGCCTGCCTTGCATGCACAAGGACCCAATTTAGATTCTTTGTACCACACGGCTCCCATGTATTACTGGATATGGCCCTGTTAATTCCCCAAGTTCTGTTAGCTGTGGCCCTGGTGACCCCTGGCACTGCTGGACCCAAGTGCCACTGCGTTGTCTGTCTGAGCATTGACCAGTATTGCTCATCTGGCTATCACCAGAAGTGGCCTGGGGTTCCTGAGAGCTGCTTGGGAGCTTCATCCTACCAACACCAAAAAAAAAAAAAAAAAAAAAAAAGAGTAAAATTAAAAAACAGAAAGTGATGTTGATGGTATGAGGGAATTGACACTCTTTGGTTGATGTCTTAATTCCACAAAATTTAAATATGCACATACTGTGAACAATTTATTGCAATTCTAGAAGTTTAATTTCATGCAATGGTTCAAACATTTTCCAGTTAATCTCAAACATATAAAAGGGCTGGAAGAATTTTGTTCTAAATATCCATATACTCATTATCTAGTTTCTACCATTAACATTTTGCGGTTGTTTATTACATAAATCTCTCTCTCTCTCTGTTAATCTATCCAGTCCATCATTTTTTTTTTTTTACTGCAGCACTTATACATTGGGTTGGAGCGATAGCACAGCAGGTAGGGCATTTGCCTTGCATGAGGTCAACCCGGCCTAACCGGGTTCGATTCCTCTGCTCCTCTAGGAAAGCCTGGCAAGCTACCGAGAGTATCTCGCCCGCACGGCAAAGCCTGGCAAGCTATCCATGATGTATTCGATCTGCCAAACACAGTAACAACAAGTCTTACAATGGAGACCTTACTGGGCCCGCTCAAGCAAATCGATGAACAATGGGAGGACAGTGCTACAGTGCTACTTACACATTACAGAAAATTGCAGGTAAATACTCAAAAATTATCAGAAATGCACACAAACATTCACCTAAAAGTATAATAATTTCATTAGCATTGATTTTAGGAAGAAATGAAAACAGCTCAAATGTACAATTGCCGTGCATTAGTTCATCATGCCACATCTCTAGCTAGATATTTTGATTCAGTGGGTATGGAGGGGGCCTACAAATTTGCACTTTAAGAACCACTGCACTGGTGTGTCAGGGGATGCTTAGCCTGTTTAAGATGCTGAGAGAGCTAGTTACTATAATTTATGACAGAGTCTGTATTGAAGCCATCTTGGATATGTTTAGGTTAGGGTTCACCAGAAGCAGTTCTTGAGAAGCAAAGTCCTGTGTCAGTGACTTCACAGATATGGAAGGAAGGGAGTAATGGAAGTAGAACAGCACAAGGGAGATAAGCTAAGGATAAATCTGGTCTTTGCTAGACACAGACTTTAGTCTCATCTGCTGTGAAGCTCTGGAACAGAAACTGCTGCCAAGTAAGACTCACTTTATGTCATGGATTGGCCTTTTGAACATTCTTGGTGATAATCACTGATGTGTCGGTCACTCTTTGTAGTAGCAGTGGACAGAGCTTCCGAAGCACGGTGACCCCAGTGTTGCTGAGCGAGACCGCCAACTGGTATTATTTGGTGCAGGACTGTTCTCATGGCTGCATGTTCAAAACATACTTTGACATTCAAAGTAGAACCAGGGCATCATCTTTGGAAACATCTGCCCTGGGCAGCCATGGAGCTGAGTGGTGTCCTATCATTCTTGTAAGATTCTCTGGCAAGCAACAGAATCTAAGTTGGAAGTTGACACACTGGATCCACGGGGCCTTGGATGGGGCACTCACGGCATCCATCACAGAGAATAACCTAAAACCTCAAAAGTGGAATCTGCGGGGAAAACCATGTACAAAGTCTACATTTAGAGTAAAAGGGAGTGTCTTGATGTGGCATCACCAAACTTTTAGAAATAAGAGCTCTTGATCTGAGTTGACAGCAAGCTCAAGATAACACAAATAATGCCGTGGGTGCTAGAAAGACAAACTGGACTCTAGGCTGATAGAGTCAAGTTAGTCTTTTTAGCTTTTCATTAAAGCATAAATGAATCCTTGATATGCTTTCAGAACCCCTGGGCATCTGTGAAAGGCTTTTAGGAAGTCAAAAGTAATTTTATAATAATATTGATATTATTTGCATTTTTTCCCTCTCTCATTCTCAAGCTTTCTAATGGCTTTCTGATGAGCAGTATTGCAACAGATTGAATGCAGAAATAGTTACAAGAATCCAGCTCTCCTCTGCTCCATCAAAAGATTTTTTTGAAATGTAAAACAATGGCACTTTTTATACTAATGTGTGTTGTTTGGGGAAATTTTTTTATATCATGGCAATTTACTATTAAGTTATATCTTTAAATGAATTAATAAGTAAACCTATTTTTTCAAAAACAAATATGTGGGGATTGAGAAGGTGAGGAAGCACTTTTCAAGCCCATGTTCAGTGGCAGCATCAGCCAGCCTGGCCAGTAGTACTGTGTTGGGCCTGAGGATGTGGTACCGCCTGGCCCCACCATGACCGCTGCGCTTAGCAGCTTCCAGCAGGGCTACGGCAGTGAAGCTTCTGGTGCAGAGGATTGAACCCCAGCAGGTGACTATAAGGCCCATATTCTAAGCCTGTCCTAGTTCCCCAGCCCCCCCCCCGTTTTCAATTTTATATTTTTCAAGTTTAATACAGTGGTTGCCAATAGATACAACTCTCCTAAAAGCTTATTGGGGTTCTCAGTGAATTTTAAAAGAATAATGGGGGTCTAGGGACAGATATAGAAGGACTGCATTCATTTGTGGAGTATAAAATAACATAACACGAGACCAACACCCAAGGACAGTAGATATAAGGGTCAGGAAGATTGCTCCATTGTTGGAGGTCCACCTCATGAGTGGACAGGGAGAGGACAGCTGGAATAGAGAAGGGATCACTAAGAAAATGATGGTTGGAGGAATCGGTCAGGATGGGAGATATGTGCCGAAAGTAGATAAAGGTCTAAAGATGATAACCTCTCAGTATATGCTTTGCAAACAATAATCCCCCAAAGTAGAGAGAAAGTATGGGGAATATTGTCTGCCATGGAGGCAGGGTAGGATGGGAAAGGGGGGGCTATGCTGGGGATATTGGTGGTGGGGAATGTGCACTGGTGGAGGGATGGGTGTTTGATCATTGTGTGATAATAATTCAAACATGAAAGTTTGTAACTATATCTCATGGTGAATCAATAATTTTTTTTAAAAAAGTGAAAAGTTTAAAAAAATAAAGAACATAAAGTATTAAAAAAAGAATTATGGGGTCTCGAGAGCAAATTATTTGTGAATCACTGATCT